CGGATTCGAACCCGCGACCCTCAGATTGTGAGTCGAGTGCCTTATCCACCTGGCCATGCCGGGCACGGTATGGTTGGAAGCTTAAGAATGTTTGACGTGTGAATCTTCGTAAACTACAGATATTTGTTAATTATATTAATAACAACACCGGGATATAGTCCTGGCTTTACTGTAATACCGTTCTGGGTCGGAGTGTTCTCTTTCGTAACTATAGTCTTCACTGATGAGTGTGTTGCTCCGAATGGCTTTGGGTAGAGTTTCAGAGCTTGTTGCTGCACTAAGAGAAACGCTGTGGAAGTTTCAGCTTCCACAGAAAACACCGATGGCTTCCTTCTTCAAAATATTGTGTTATTTTGCTCAATATTGTTTAATAATCTCGTTATAGAAACATTTTATCTTGGAAAGAGCTGTGAAAGACCACCTTCAGCCACATGTCTTAATGTAGCAATATTGTCTGTCAAATGGTGGGGATTACGTCATGAACCGAATACGTAGGTGTTAAACATGTTCCTCATGATGTTCGCACCTGTGTCGGCATAAAAAAATAGTTATTGTAAGGTGCGGTTAACCCTTCGTATACTGAAATTTTATATATAAGTATATATCAGCCTTTTCCTTTTTGAGGGGAAGAAGGGTCTGCATGACTCAGGCATGTTGGTATATATGCTTAAATGTGTTTACGTCTGTAAACGTAAGTTTATATTTACATGTTTATATATATTCTGATCATATTCAATTCCACGTTCAAATTTAAAACATTAGGTCTACGTATTGAGTTTTGTATTTAAGTCTGTAATATATATGCCTAGGTAGATTCGTACCTTTAGGCTTATATTGAATCTACATAAACATTCAGAGGTGGAGGAAAAAAAAATTGGATTGGTCAGGCAACTTAGAATAGTGTACTCTGAGATTGAATTTTCTGCTAATTTCACTATAATTTATTGAAATTATTAATTGCTAGCACTTCTTTATGATTCATAAAAATAGATGTTCACTGGCACTTTTACTCAACATAGCTATAAACAAACACAATAATGTACACTTGCAGATTACTCGTGTAATATATTGTTATACTGATTCATACACACTGCTATAAGTCTATGTATTACCTAGAGACCATTTTCGAAGTGCAAGTTAAAGTTTAAAAAAACCCTACAGTTACTGTGAGAAAATGTTGTTTCGGCTGCTGTCCGGTCTGCCGGACCTGCTCCGGCGCTGATCATATTTACATTTTCAGGTCCTCATAGAAGTTCAGTACTTGGGTTGATATATTCAGGTCCGTATATATATGGTTTTATTACGATCTATAGTTAGGCCAATATATACATTTGTACATATATTAAGGTCTATAATTAGCTCAGTATACGTCTAGGTATTATATAATAATGTTAAGGTCCACATCAGATATATATATATATAGCAGATCTATATTACTGGCTATGCATTATTTTATTACATCGTATTTCACGATACCCTCAGCTACCTATAAAAGTTAATATGTGTTTTCCATTTTAGTTATAATTTGGAGCATTTCTGAAGCCTTTTAAGTATAATGGAATAGAACCAGTTCTTTTTAGAATTTAGTTCGAACTTTTTTAGTCATGTTTAGAACACATACATGTTGATGTTGACAGAGCAGAATAAACCTTGATAAAGTACAATGCGAATCGGAACATTTACACTATATGCCAGAAAGTAGTAGCAAGTTTCCTCTCCAAGGATCACATACTGTGTTGTATAGAGCACGTACAATGTGACCCATCTCGGAACACGATAAACTTTAGATATATATATATATATAGAGAGAGAGAGAGATTAACATGTATAAAGCAGGGGTAGGGTTGTTTAATTATTAATCACCTATACATGAAATGTGAATCATTGTTGTACACACAGCCACTTACGAGGAATAACGGATATTAAATACTATTGTTAATGTTCCTGTTTACGGAGAAACAACAATTGACACGGTTAATACATACCAATACCCATTCAAAAATTAGAAACCTTTTTTGCAACTGTCAGAATGTGTGTTAAGGACGTTATCGTAAAAATCACAAACTGCAATAAATAGTTGTAACTACAAGGATAATTTGTTAGTAACTGTAATGACATTTAATCTCGTTAATACTGTTCTCGGTTCTAAGGCCTAAAACATTGGTAAATATGTTCATAACGTATGGAGACGAAGGAACAGAAAGCATGATGCTGTCAGCTAGTTTCTGTTAAATAAGCCTTCCTCTCGCTGGTATAAAATATTATAAATGCTAATTGCTAAGTTGTTTGATATTACTTAGTTTTCGAAATTGTAATTGTAGTTGTGAACAATAATGATATAAAGTACAGTATGTATATAATTATAGACGTAACAGTGAGATTTTGTAAAGTTTCTTTGATGGTACAAACAGCTGTCTTGCTAACAATGGAGGCTGTGATAATGTTTCCCAACCAAGTTAAGTTAATGTAAATAATATCACCAGTTATCTTTTGCGTTTGAAACGATGATCGAGTAACGTGTATTTTTTTTACTCAATTCAGAAAACTACATTTTTCTCATGTGATGTTAAAGTTTATTACGTCTTTTTCGGCGATCACCAAAGAATCAACTAAATTCATCAGTGACATACGAATGACTAACAAAACAATCTACATGATGGATACGTTACCTAACACTGTTGGAAGTTAGTGTGTTTAGTTTGGATAAGGTGGTATATGGATTATAAGATTTAGGTTTCAAACATATATATTTAAATAGATATGAAGTGACAAGACCAATAACGTTCGAATATTGCTGGGTTTGAGTTTTCACTTTTGTATGATATACATTTTCTATGTACTTTAGATCAAAAGCAAGATCTGTTAGTAATGAGTAGTACCCATAAAACTAAAAATATTAATTTCAAGTACATTTCTAAACGTGTTAATTACTAGGAGGAAAACATGAAACTTTATTTGAATTTATTCTAGCTTGTCCAAGGATTAATGATTTGTCTTATATAAGAACAAACACATATTTAAATAATATTTAAAGTGCCATGAATCCTAAGTATAAAATGTTAAAAGTTTAATATTACAGTCAGATAATTTTTAAAGAGTTAAATGTCTTGAATTCATCCGTTGTGGTTGGAGATGTAAAACATCTAATTAAGATATATTAACTTTTTATACTAAAGACAAAAAATAAATTTATAGAGTACTTGCCCTAGTGGAGTTTCATACAAACTATCTCTGTTAAAGAACCAACCTAAAACGTTTCTAACGAATCCTTGACTGAACATCAACAAGTTTCTCCAGAAAGGCGTCTAAATATTCAGGTGTATTGATATAATCTGTGAACCTTGGGTTACGACGATTGTTCTTTTTTTACACCAATAATCGAGACAAAAGAAGAGTCAGCACAAATACAGCTTATGATGAGCTGTACTAAGGTATATAGTGATCATAGTTAAACACAAAGTTAGTAAATATAACTTTAAAGACGTGATAATAGAACGACGTGTTTGTCTGTAGTTAAGGGCAAAGCTACGCAATAGACTATCTGTGTTATGCTTACCGCGGGTATCAAAACCCAAATTTCAGCATTATAAACACTCAGACTTATTGCTGAGGCAGAATGACATAAAAAACAGCCACGAAATGCTTTTCACGTATAACACTACGAGTCACGTTAATTATCCGCCTATTTGTGTCCACTTTCATATATACAGTTAATTCTACTAATAATGTTAAAATTACATGTAATATTATAATAAGGTTCACAGGATATTGCAGTCCTCCATGTCCGGTAGCGTAATTCTGTTGCGCCACATTCTAATAGGTTTATAACTGAAACAACAAAAACGAGTACTTACGTGTTGTTAACTGGAAAATACATACGACGAAAAAGCTTGTGTAAGCCAAGTTTATGTGTAGCTCTTCCACACTGTAGAGAATATGGTGAAGTAGTTTTCTCGGTCAGGCAGGCTATATTAAACTAACTTTAGACGTCTAGCACGAGTTTGCAGCATCTTCTTCGAGTCTGAAGAAATTGCTTTATATATAAAGTTGGCCTCTGTATAATAAATACGATACAATCTGCACGCGCTCGCCGGAACGAACGTTTGAACGTGGCGGCCCTGTAGGCTAGGAACACTCGGTAGTCGATACTACATTTAAATGACATAAGAGCACGTGCGTGTTCATCACGTACATACTATTACTGTTGGCCAATGACAAGATAAGCCTGTATTTTGTGTTCATTCGGCTGGATCCATGCACGTAAGAGCCGTAAGATGATTTTACATAGTGTATTCTAGTGTTAACCACGTACTGACCCTTAATCACCCCATGTTCAAGTACAGTTCGTAGAGAAGAGAAGTAATTATTGTAAATCTTACGATAGGTAATTACACTAGATATCTCTATGAGTTGAAATTACTAAATCATTCAATTGTTTTCTCCGCAAAGGAAAACAAAACAATATTATATTACCTTAGTAATATCATATAACACAAAAGCATTTGCCAACGAAAACATAAATCATTGTCAGAAATACAATCACAAATTAAAGGCCACTTGGTTATAAGGTATAAAAAGAAAACACTTAAAGTTTCATTCTTCCAGTCTTGTGTGTACAAAAAGGAGAGAGACCTGGACGGTGATAGTGTTACTTCTGTTATTTTAAATGTAAATTTTACCCTTGAAGAAACCTTCGAGAGCAAATACTACAGTATTTACTTTTAAATCAATACCTCTCCTTATTAACCTCTATTTATTATTCTTATCGTAAGAAGTGTAGCTACGGCTGTGAAATGTACTCGTTTGTTGTATTTTTAAATTATAATTTTGTCTGAATACTATTTGAAAATCGCTAAGGTCCAAACTTAAACCAGTTTTATGTTTAGTTTTTTAGGCTGGTCAATTTTCAATATATATTATCTGTTTGTACTAATGTAGAAGTCCCTGGTGGCTAAGTGGTAAGTCTGTAGGCTTATAACGCTAAAAATTGGGTTCGATACCTGCGGTGGGCAGATCACAGATACTCCATTGTATAGTTTTGTGCTTAATAACAAACAAACTAATATATAAAACTTGTACTTAAACCATAGTAAGCATTTTTTTTTTATTTCATAACAATATTGAAGTTTACTTTTCTAACTAAATACTTATTGTTAAGAAAAAAAGAGAAAAACTCAAACCACAAAGAAAACGGTACATGATAAACAGATGCTTTAATGTTCCCAACGTTTCGGGCCCGAACGCCTTTCCTTTGGTGGTTTTCAACTTTGGTGGAACAAAGGGTTTGATTCAAAGAAAAAAAAAAGAGTTATCAAACTCAGAACTTTCGAAATGAATATACAACAAATCCATAGAAGAAATATGCACGTGAATCAGCAGCAAATCAATATTGTTCTAAAGGTGCAAGTCATGCACTGCATGACCAATCAGAAAACTAAAAATGTGGTGTTAACATTGTACAATGAAATGTGTCTTTTATATTTATTATTATGAATGTTATTATTATTATTTCCCGTTTGATTGTTACGTGTTTCTTTGCACTGTAGCAGCTTTCTCGTCTTATGCAGAGAGAGCTCTGCATGTCTAGTCTTAATCACGTCATGCTATGTGAATTCTGCATACATAACTTTGCACTCCCAGCAGTATTCTGTTTTCTGAAGTGGCGTCCCCTCCACTCGTTAGTAAAACCGCGTGGGGTATGCTGCGTTAAAATAGCATGACAGCCAGTGCATGCGCAGAAGTTCAACGTCAAAAAATTACAGGTTGCATGCTTTGCTTCACTCGATTTGGTAATACATTTATTAATTTTTCATTTTCGTCCACTGAATTTCATCTCAAATAGGGTGAGGAAATCTGTTCTTTGTATGTGTTTATTATTATTATTATGGAGGTATATTACATTAATAAGTTATTCCTGCATGACCTACTTGAAAACCCACCCTACACTATTATACACACATATATATATAGAATATGTGCGTATATGATAATTAAAAACTGAGGTTTTAAATATGTATATAAGTTTCTGAAAAAATGTCAGTAGTAATAGCAGATAAGTAGGGTCCCGTGCATTGTTGCAAGTGGTGTCGAAGAAGTTTCCTGAGTGGTTTGAAACGTTGGTTGTGTACTAAATGGTTGGATGATAGTTATTCATAAAACTGGTAAAATTATGGCGTTTGTCCGATTCTGTCATCAAGACATCGTGGGTATAAAACAGGCATATACCATCGTAAGTTTTAAACATTTGATGGCTCTAGCGCTTGTTGCTGGTTGAATTAGAACCTCAAAGCTTCAAGACCTTCATTATATGATATGGCATTATTGTTATAAGCTATATTTTTAAAGTAGTCATTTAGATGTTGACTAGAGGGTTCGTCATGTTAAGGTCATGTTAGTCCTAGAATATTTGGGAATAGTAATGAACGAGAAACTGTATAGAGCTTGTACAAGGATTTGCTTAAACATACTGTTGAGTCAATTAATTGGCTCAGTAAGCTTGCAGTGAAACAGTGAAGCATCAAGAAGATAAAGAATTGTTTTATAGCTGGTAAAGTGAATCAGTCAGTGTGTTTATGTTTTTTATATCTGTATTAGCTATCGCGCATATTGAGTTATTTTGTACAAGTAAGTTGATTTTTACGTCAGCATAATGCATATAGCAAGACAATAAACGTAGACTTACAATTAGTTATAAGTGTACCAGTCAGTAAAAAAAATTAAGGAGGAAATAAACTAAATTGTTATCGTTTACTTGGACTGGACTTTCAGTTGTTTTCACCGGGTAATTGAAAAGAACCTGCTAACGGAAGAAGAATGTTGTAACAATATATGAAGACTTAATGTCGAAAGTGAATAATAATGAATTAAAAGTAATTAGAGCAATTTCAACGAACACTTAAACTTTGGTGCTATCTTTGATATAGGTCAGAAGAGTATTTACTACAGGTTTCATAATATCGCCTAAAAAAGCTAGAGGTTAAACAGTTACATTTAGAAACTATAGGCGTCCCCGGGTTTTCAGTCTTGTGTATTAATGTCCAAGTATTATTGTGTCTGTCGTTTAAATAGACTGAGAGAACTTAAACTTGAGGAGGGAAGGTATCACTGTTGTCGCCGTCAGATGGATTTTGGTTTGCCTTTAGGTTATTGTTGATGAAATGCACTCGTAAGCGACGTAAACAATTGTACAACTTTTCCTTTAGTGTTGAAGTCATTAGCATAAAGACGTGTGAGAACAAATGTTAGATTTTGGCTTAAAACCGATCTTTCAACGTTTGATAGTGTATGGTCAGAAGGGATTGTGTTTGCCTGATAGAAGGATTTTTAATTTTTTAATTCAAAGTTAGATATGCACATATCCAGAAAGAAGACCTGTTTGGACCTTTGCAGTTCTATGCAAATATGAATTTGCCTAAACTACCTTACAGCACTGACGTTAATTTGTTACTTCATATTTATCTAAATTAATTTTTACCAAAAATAAAAAGGTCGACTTTATATTCTCCCCATTAAAGGACATTTTTTTTTGCTAACCAAGCCTTAAAAGAGTAAAAAGGAAAGCATAAGATTTGTAATATCTGGTATTTGAAGTGTTCACATGCGTTTAAGATTACTGCAAGTACTTGTGTAGAACCCTTATAAGTTAACACAAAATTGAAGAAATGTAGAGAGATTTAAGAGCACTGATGAACTTTTGCAAACCTAATATTCTGAGTAAAACCTTTGCTGAAGTATTTTTGAAAGTTTGCGTCAGGAGCTGTAAGGGTCATATTGGGGACTCCTATTAATCATACAGAAGATAGTTCTCTCTGGTTATTACTGTTCTGGAATTAGATAGTATAAATATATAATTACAGGATAATTGCAAAAAAAAATTCCAAAAGTTAAAAGTAAGTTAAGGCTCGTAACCAGATTATAGCATTTGGTTTTCCATGTTATATGTTTATCTTTGAAACTTGAAAAAAACCAAAAAAAAAACCCAATAACATTTCCCACGGATGTTAAAAATTGTAACGTCATTTTTTTTTTTGGAACCAGCAGACACCAAGCTACGTCATCATTCTAATTTTATTTTGCTAATCATAGGTTAGCAAAATCGAAACGTAGAATTATTTTGGTATGTTGGCCGCTGATCTATCACGATATTTGCTTATCTGCATCGATTTTTCAGATACACATAAGCATTGTCTATCATTTTTCAAGTTCTAATTCATAGCTTTTTTAGTGAAATCTATACTTCAGTTTTCTTTCTGATTAAAATAGATTTCATCCAATGTTCCAATGTTGAAATATTCGTGCCAACTTAAATTATCTTTACAAGGTGCTGTTTCAATACCAAAAGTTGGCAAAACAATAAAAACTAAGAGGCCTAAAATTCAAAACGGATCAATCAGAAGGAATGTGGGGGGAGCACTTTTCGTTTATATGATTTTTAACTCAAATTTTCTACTTATGGTTTTCTAATAATTCGCCATCTTTTGGCGTTTAAACCGTAACTTTTAAAATATTATACTACATGTATAGATAGCGTTTCAAGAATGTTTTATTTCTTATCGTCCAGTACAACTTACAAGTTCTGGTATTGATGAAAGGTCTCTTTGGCTGTGCCTTGTGGGAGACAAAAGGTAGACCTGAAATAGCATTTTTACGTGTCTCTGATTGTCAGGTTTTGTATAGGGACCGGATTCTTTACAGTAGGTGTTTGTGAATTGTTAGCGATAAATTTCAACAATAAACAGACAGCACACAATCCACTTGTTTTAAAATAATATTTTAAAAACAAGTCAAACGTATGTAAAAAAAAATTCTTTGTAGGTTATAGGTTATCACAGTTGTATCCATAGCTCTAAATAATTGTCTCTTTTTCGTCAAAGTCCACACAGGAGGGCTGTCAATTACTTTAAACCACCTTCTGACAAGACAACTTATTTTCTTCTATCTCTGTTATTACAATACGAACTGTGAAACTCACTTTAGAAATGACCTGTTATCGCTAAACTCAACTTTTACTTTCACTGGCTTACTTACTTTTCACTTGCACTCTGTATTTGCACGTATTTATAACACGCGAGAAAACATCTAGACATATTTAGTTCTCTAGTAACGAAAATATTAAATATAACGAGAAAA